TATACAGCAGTTCACATACATTTTGTCACATAACATTGACTGCAATTTCCCACAATGCAATAGCTCTCTTCCCACTTCCTCTCCATAGTTACCTCTTCCCTGTGTCCATCCTTCCATGTGCTCCTGCCCACCTCCCCACCCCCAGCTGTCTCCCTGTGCATACACAACCCTTCTATTCTCCCATGATTGATCTCTCCAAGGAGTGTGTCTACCTAATGTAAATGTTCAGCTCATATGTCTTCATTTTGTTGGGCCGGAAGCCACAGGAGTGGGTTCAGTTCCAGACCTGAAGGGCAGCTAGTGACCATAGTCTCAGGGGTTCCATCAGACTCTAGTATACCAGCAAACCTTGTCCTTCTTTTTTTTTATTTTGAGTTTTGTTCCACATTGTTCTCCCACTCTATCCAGGATCTCCTACATAGATCCCCAATGTGGGGATCATTGGGTTGATGATGATTGACATCATGGTTGACAGTCATGGACACCATCTAGTTCTTCTGATCTCATAGTCATATAGGCTGAGAATCACATGGTGTACCAGTCCCTTGGACTAATTGTTTCCATGCGTCTTTTTTTTTTTTTTTCATTCTTCTTTGCTCTGGATGAGGAGAGACTCATCATTGCATCTAGATAGCTGCTTGCAAGCTTTTAAAGTCCCAGTCTCTACTCACCAAAGGAGGATATGGTACAATGTTTTTGTGTCGTATGCCATTCCAATTGAGCTTGATGTCCCCTATGACCATGAGGACCTCAACTTTTAACTTAGATAACATGAGGCTATTTTTGGAAAATCAATTAGGAAAAGCCCAGGTGAGTTCTTAGTTCTTTGTGCAAGCCTGAGGGCAGAGTGCCTCTCCTGGACTTGCCCCCACTTATCTAAGCATAGCCACACTGCTGGTTTAATGGTCAGCAAGCATCGAAGAAGTAACATGAAGAACTCAAAACGGCATGTGAATTATGTCGAGTCAAAATGGAGTTAGGCCTTCTGCTGTAAAATGCAGCCTTCAACAAACCAAGGGCTTTAGATTTTAATCTCTAATGCAATCCCACCACTAGAACAGCAGTAAGCACAGAGGCCTGCGACCGAGAAGGGGCATGGACTGCATTCAGGAACACTTTCCTATGTAGCCATGAGCAGCTGGCAGGAGAAAGGTGGAGGTGACAGGTGGGCTGACTAGAGGTCTCCCAGGAGTCTATACTCTACTTTGAAAGCAAACAAGCAAATTGGATCAGCGTTCTGTGCAGCTCTCCCTGAAGTGTGGTGTTAGACAAGGTTGATGTTGTAATTGTATTACCATTAAGCTGGGAAACTAGCCATTTGCTGTGATAACCAGTTGCTGAGGAGTTGACTCTGACTCATGATGACCCTGTGTGCAGAGCAGAACTGTGCTGCATAGTTTGTGACTTTTCAGGAATAGATTGCCAGGCCTTTCCTCTAAGGTGCCTTTGGGTGGATTTTAACTGCCCAGTACTTAATTATTTGTGTCACTGTGATACTGTGATAGCCTGAAGTAAAACAATGCAAGAGACTGCAAGGTCAAGTAAAGCCTTGATGGGGCTGCACTGATTTCCGGTTTGATGGGCCAGTGAGTCAGGGTTACTGTTCCTTCCCTTTCTCTCTCCCTCCCTAGAGCCAATATGCAACCTGTCTCAGTCCCAAGATAAAATAAAGGCAAAAGCAGGTCACTGGTGAAGGAGGAAGTAGGAGAGCTACTGAGACACGATTTATTCTTTGCCCAAATGATGCAGCTAGGAACCAGACAAGATAAATCCCAAAGCACGATGTGCCTGCTGATAAACAGGAACAGACCATTAACTGCAGGCAGTGTGAGATTGTCTGCAGCCAGGTCCCGGAAGAGCAGCCCAGTCTCAGGCCAGACTTACTTCTACTCAGCCACCACCTCAGCTGTCATCTCCAAGATATGATAGGTGGAAAACGCACAAAGATAAATGTGATGCCATTTCAAATCCCAACCTAGTCCTACAAAACCTCCCTGTCCCACTCTAAGGGAGGCATAGTGGCAGCTCAACTTCGCCTGTGAAAATCTGCTACCACGAGAGGTATTTTGAAAGGAATGCCAAAGGTTTGGAAAAGCTTTTAACTTTGAACATTGAAAAAAAAAAAAACACCTACATCAAGAAACAATTTACCCAAATATTCAAGTTTCTCTTAGGCCAGTTCTCGCAAAGGGGTGACCAGGATGGGGAGGTGGTAATGATGGTCTTGGAGGAAGGGCTTCATAATCGAGTATGTGAAAGACGTCTTTTCCAAAATGGCTTGTTCAAAAGGCATGCTTAGCAGTGATCAAAAACAAGGTAGCAGGCAAAATCAGCCTCCTTCACTGGAGAAGAAATCCTAGGAATTACCTCAGTTTTACAAACAAAAGGCTTTTGTGGTTATTGTATTTTCCCACACACGATTATAAGCTGGAAATATGACTGGGAAACTCAGAAGGTCCAGACCAAAAAGGTCCAGTCACCTGCCCAGGAAGGATGCTAAATTAAAAGGACCTCTAATGTGTCAGAATAGATCCTCTTTTTTTTCCTTCAGAGTAATAGTTGCAGAAGTGGGAGGAGCTGGGGGAGCCCAAAGTGAAAGGTGAAAGACAGAACTAGATTGGTTTATAATCCCTACAAACAAAACCACTCATCTGGAAAACTCAAGTTAGATGCTTGCTTATAAAGTTTATTGACAACTGTTTGGTCCCAACACACAAAACAGCACTTGAACCACACACAAAAAAAAGTGTTCAAACAAAGTAGACAGTTAAGAAAAACATCTTATCCCCCAAGCCCAATCCAAAACAAACAGTGCAAGATGGGAAAGGGGGCTTTGTTGATAACTTGTTTTTAAACAGATAAATCTGATTTGGTACACCTTTCCACCCAGAAAGAAAGAATTTCATTGTCCTAATTCTCATATATCATTTTGTCACATCATTTAATTAAGCCTCTGGATAAAAAAATAGATATCAACTGGACTGGCCATTGTGAAATACATTATGAACAAAACATACTTCCGGTGTACTCCCACACTTTCAACAGCGATTGTTAGTCGCACATGCGTCCCAGACTAGCTGGCGACTCCTGTGAGTGGCATGGCCACTGCACTCACACCACAGCGCAGAATTTCAGCATCTTTGTCTGCAGCTCAAAGAACCTGCGCTTCGAGACTATTCCTAGTGACCTGTAATGAGACCTCTTGTTTTGAAAGTCCACAATCCTTTACATGTTAGCAAAACTCAACTTTAAGCGTGCAAATTTGCCTTATGAAATCTCTGAATAAGGCATCTGATGTCTCATCACCAGCTTTATCACATTGTTTAAAAGCTTCATTAAAAAAAAAAAAATCTGCACATTTGCATTTTACTTCATGTAACACTATGTCTGTAGAGGAAATGCCTTCAGAAGGATTCGCAGAGCACCATCATACTTAGGTCTTTCCAGTGTTGTTCCATCGTGGCTGGGGCCTTGCACTGAGCACTGGGAATCACTGCTTCATTTAAAAGATTTGGGGAAAGAGAATCTAACTTGTAAAAAAAATCTCTCAATAGCCCTTGTTTTGTGGCATTTTATCAAAATGCTGGCTATGAAATCAGAGCCCATTTTCTGGCTTCCTAGAAATTACAAACTATAAACATTTCCCCAAAAGAAACTCTCTAACTAGTGGAAGACCTTTGACAATAGGTTCTTTCTGCTCCATGAATGAATCTGCCTTTTTGCCTAACAAATACAACCCATTGTAAATGTCAGGTTTCTCCAGGAGGGCTACAAGGCCACCCGTCACCGGACACACCTCAGCCAACTTGAGAGTGAGGTCATTCCACAGTGCAGTGTTCCCTCAGGGCTGGTGTAGACATGAGATACCACCAAAAACCCAAATATGCTTCCAACAGCGAGAAGTAATGGAGTAAAAACATACTATTAAAAGACACTGAGCTAACCACACACAAACACATGTATACTCACACATAAAGCTTCCCAGCTACCAAAACAGCTTTAAAATTACAAAAACAAGGTTAAGTCGATCAACCTTGGCCTTTGTATGCATGGATAGAACTTCTGTCTCTTCCTAGTGGAAACAGTATTGATACCACTCCTGTTAAGGCACCTCATCACTCAGCTCTGATTTGTAATTTATGCATTTGATGCATATTTTAGAAAATCAGGCTCTCTTCCCAATACTGCCTCTCGACACACAATGATGTGTGTCGTAATTCAAATGCTGATTTTAGATTCACGACACCAAGACTATCTCTTCTTCCTTAACCCAATCCATATCAACCTAGAACTTAACATAAAAGGGAAGCTTAAAACATCCTCAACTTTCTAGGAAGCTCCTAAATGGAATCCCAAAATAGAAACCTTTAAAAAATTTTGTTGTGAAGTCACATTTGTCAACTACAGACATAGTTAAATAAAAAATGAGGCACACTACAAGTCACGTGGAAGCCAGGAACCTTCATGTTCCAACCTGAAATATATTCTCAGCTCCTTTTCCCCTCTCTTCTCTTTTGGTGTGTAAACTTGCAGGATCATGAAACAGGCTTTGTTTCAAGGGCACATCATGCATTTGATTAATACTGTCTGAAAACATCAGTAAGCAAAGACTTATAGACTATATTATGCTACACGTAGGATCAGACCACAATTGTGGCTTAAAAGAAGTAAGACCACTTCGATCTAGCTGAATTCTTACTGCTTTCTTTATATGGAACACCATTATATTTCATAATAATTAAGAAAAATTTGGTACAATATATTAAGGATTCTTTAACAAACACCAGAAGTTTTTCAAATCTCTGGGGTAAGAAAAAACTTCAGTTCAAAGCTGTTTCCATATAAAAGAAACAAAAACATTAAGGAACACATCTAAAGATGAAGTAAGTGGCTTGCAGGGGGATTTCATTAAAACAGAAAAGACATGTTTTTTTGAACCCAATTTTGTGTGCAGAATCAGACAGTGTTTTCCCATTCTAACTCTATGTTCAAAATGAGAGTCAAAGCTTGGTTATAGGTGCAAAGGAAAAGTTGGCGGCCAATTTTACTCTATTTTTGGGTTGCTTTTTGGCTGGGCTTTCCATAGGGTCCTTGCTGGATGGCAACTCTGGGGCTTCTGAGGAGGAGCAGGGTGGCACAGGGGTAGCTGCTGAGACACAAGCTGACCTGGGATCAGAGGTCAGTTTTTCGTTCTTTATCGGTACTGGAATTTCAATGTTCTCTTCTTGGTTTAAAATAATCATTTCTGTAAACATAGAAAAGCAAACAAATTAGGTTCCAGGTGTTGTTAGAAGTATGTTGGTTTTCATTTTCATTTTTTTTTTTAATATATATTTTTAATAACCCCCTGAACATCACACCTATGCCACAGTTTACATGTTAGCTGTGTGGCCAAAAATCTGTCACATGAATACAAACTGCTCACCTCTTCCTCCCTGGATTTCAAAGTTTTTGAGATCTCTGTTATAGACCAATGGGCAATGGTTTTAAAGAAGTTTCCTACTGTATTTATTTATTTATTTTCAAAAGAGACACTTTTATTAAGCCTTAGACAGGACAAAGGCAAAACAAAGGCAATCACCCAGGATGGGGGAAACCTCACCTGTCCACAGTGCAGAACGCTGAATGGAGTCCCAAATGTTTCCCACTTTAGATTGTCTGCCCATTCATCTCTCTGCCAGGTAGCTAAGGATCCAGGTAGCTACAGCTAGACATGACTTAAAGAATTTCTGACCAGGAGGCACCAGTGTCAGGAAACTCCTGGCTCATTCATTTATAGAGGAACTGTACTGTGTGTGGATCTAAGCCGGGGAGTAAGCTGAAAACTGCATATAGTCAATATGGCTCTTGGAAATCTAGGAAGCCAAATACAGCTAATTTTCCTGCAGTGTTTACAGATCACTATTTCTTTAGCTAGGAGCTCTGGTAGCGTAGTGCCCAAGGTACTTGACTGTTAACCAGAAGGCTGGCGGTTCAAACCCACTAGCCGCTCCTCAGAAGGAAGGTTGGGCAATCTACTTCCGTAGTGATACTGCCTCGGAAACCCAAGGAGGGGTCACTATGAGTCAGGTCTGACTCGATGGCACATGACAACAACAACAACATTTCTTCAGCTGAGCCATAAAGTTATATTATTTGAAAAATATATGAAAAATCTCTATTTTTAATTTAGATTCCCGTGGTGTATGGCAAGGGGTTCTCACTACAAAAGGCACAGAGATGAGACTGACAGGACAGCAGAGCCCCAGCACCCTTTCCAGGCTGACACTGGCTGAAGAGAACGGCAGAAAGAACTGCTCACTGTTCAGATTATTTCTCATCACATGAATAAGGTTAAACTTGGATATACTAAATGCTCAAAGGCTAGGACCCCATGGGAGAGTTGGTATGTGTCTCCACTAACTCTCATTATACACTCCAGAGGAACACAACAAAAGTCTACCCTCTTCAAGGCTAGGTCGCCTAAGACTAAAAGGCAGTGATTATGATCCCCCATCTCCTATATTCCAGATAAATAACTCAGTTCTTTCACTGGTGACAGTGCCGAGCGTTGCTTAAGAACACTGAGGACTGGGAAGATCAATCCTGAAGTCACTTGGCTGTCCCTGTGGGATTCTGGAAAGCAGCATCAGCAAAGCAGGGAGAACTGGATTACAACAGCTTCAGAGTAATGAGGGAAGGACCCATTTCTCAGGAGGTCAGAAACAGAGCAAAAGAAGGCTTAGGGTCCAAATCCTGGCTCTGCCGCTTCCTTCCCAAGCTGTAGAGTGGGAGTGATACTCTACCTTGAAAGTTGTGGAAAGAATTACATGTGATAGTGTGCCAGCCCTGAGCAGCACACAATGTGAGCCACATTACAGCATTGTGCAGAATGTGCTCACTTAGCATTGGCCTAAATAGGTGTTTAACACATTCTGCTTCCTCTGTTCCCAGATCATTGAGTGGATTCTGGGCAATCAAGCCATACATGCTTCCCTCCTTCCCCTATTCAGACCCTCATAAAGCCCTAGTTTGCTCTGGAGTCATTAAACTCTGGATCCAGGCCAAGGGTAATATGTACATTTGGTGAAAGGTAATCCTGCACCTTTAAAAAGGGTGGGAAACAGCCAGCTACCTGGAGGGAGGGAGTGGCCTGTGGGCTCAGGACCATAGTTACAGGGGCATCAAGTTCAACAGGCATAACATACTACATAAAAACATTGTTCTATGCCTACTTTAGTGAGTAGCGACTGGGATCTTAAAAGCTTACAAGCACCCATCTAGATGCAATGATGGGTCTCTCCTCGTCCAGAGCAAAGAAGAATGAAAAAAACCAAAGATGCATGGAAAGGAAACAATTAGTCCAAGGGACTGGTATGTGATTCTCAGCCTATATGACGATGAGACCAGAAGAACTAGATTGTGTCTGGGTACCACTGTCAACCACTAGGACACTGGGGATCTATGTAGGAGATTCTAGATAGAGTGGGAGAACAAAGTGGAACAAAAGTCAAAATCCTAAAAAAAAAAAAGAAAAAGGGACCAGGTTTGCTGGTGTGATAGAGCCTGGTAGAACCCCTGAGATTATGGCCCCTAGCTGCCCTTTAGGTCCGGAACTGAACCTACTCCTATGGCTTCCAGCCCAATAAAAGATAGGCATATGAGCTGAACATTTACATTAGGTAGATATACTCCTTGGAGAGATCAATCATAGGAGAATAGAGGGGCTGTATATGCACAGGGAGACTGCTCGGGGGGCAGGAATGCATGGGTGGAAGGACACAGGGAAAAGGTAACTATGGGGAGGAAGAGAAATGAGAGCTGTTGCACTGTGGGAAATTGCAGTCAATGTCATGAGACAAAGTATATGTGAACTGCTGTATGGAAAATGAATTTGCTCTGTAAACTTTCATCCAAATCACAATAAAAACTAAAAATAAATAAAAGGGTGGGGAGAGAGCAGGAAGGCCAGGAAGCATTCCACGTACTTCCTCATGGCGTTTGCAGAGCCCAGCTGTGTCAGTCCTCCAGACCCACCCATGTTCCCTTGCTTGATGCTCCCCAAGCACCCTCAGGGTGCAAATCCAATTTTGCAGGAACTCAGGCAGGGGGGTCCTGAATAGCAAGCACAGGTATTTTCTTTTTATTGTGATTTGAGTAGAAATTTACAGAGCAAATCCACTTTCCATACAACAGTTCACACACACTTTGTCTCATGACACTGACTACAATTTACCACAATACAACCATCCCACTTCCTCCCAAGTTACCTCTTCCCTGTGGTCGTCCGCCCATGTACTCCTGGCCCCTGAGCTGTCTCCCTGTGCATAAACAGCCCTTTTTTCTCCCATGATTGATCTCTCCAAGGAGTGTGTCTACTTCAGGTAAATGTTCAACTCATATGCCTGTCTTTTGTTTGGCTGGAAGCC